GAGGAGCCTAGCGGGAGCCTAGCTCCGCGGGCCGGATTAAAAGGGTCCGCCGGGCCGTAGTTTGCCCATTGCTGGCCTAGCCAGTCTCCAGACCTTAATCCGATTGAAAATCTGTGGAGGGAGGTGAAAGTTTGAGTTGCAAAACGTCAGCCACCAAACCTTAAAGACTTGGAGAGGATCTGCCAAGAGGAGTGAGCCAAAATCCCTCCTGAGATGTGTGCAAACCTGGTGGTCAACTACAGGGAACATCTGACCTCTGTAATTGCCAACAAGATATTTGCCACCAAGTACGAAGTCATGTTTTGTGAAGGGGATCAAATACTTATTTCCTTTATGAACATGCAAATCCGTGCATAATTTATTAGACATTTCTTTTGAATTTTTTGTTGCTATTCTGTCTCTGTGTTACAATACACCTACCATTCGATTTTTAGACTGATCATTTCTTTGTGAGTGGGCAAACATTCAAAATCAGCAGGGGATCAAATACTTATTTCCTTCACTGTATGTGTGTGTGTATATATTGTATAATATATATAGTATGTGCCAACAAAAACAGGATGGAATTAGCCGGATCCATGCAGCTATTTTCGATCCGGCTTATTGGCCGTTTGCACTCTGTATGCATGACAGGTCTCTCCAGACTAAGTCTGTGTGCAGCCATGTTGGATTTTTCCAGAAAGTCAGTATTGTATGAAGATCATTTGTGCAAAAAATCTTTTGGTGCTCAGAACATGACTGCATGGCCATCCAATATTTTCTGCTTAATTTTTATTACCCATTTCTGAATCCCACTTAGAATAACAGGTTGCTTTACATTTTGACATTCCCTGAGGGTACTTTTCCCAAATATTCAGTATTTATACATTATATTGAAGCTATTTCTGTAAACAGAACAGCTAATTGCCTCATTCTCTTCAGTAGTTCCATGCTGCTAGTTTTGATTTCAGTTTACGTTCTCTAATCCAGCCTGGGACAGCGCCAGCCCAAACAGCACTGCCCTGAGTTTATTACATTTGTTGGTCTCCTCCTATGTTTGCCTATATCAGGCGACTTTCTCGCTAAACAGGAAGTGGCTAAAACCAAGTCCTGGAGTGGATTAGATTCCATAGGAAACGTTTACTAATGTGACACGGAGGTGTGATGAGATGTGCAGCCCAACACAAATATAGCAATCACTCTCTCTCTGCCTAGTGACGGTAAATGGCAGAGAGATTCATTTGTATAGCACAGCAGTTTTTGGAACACTGTATTATTGAATGATTGCTATCAAATGACAGTGACCACCAGATGAGAGTGGATGGGGTAGGTTCCAAGGCTCGTAGTAATACCTGATCAGAGCAAGTATGCAATGAAAGTGAACGTGTGCACCCTTATGTTACCTGCAGCACATGGTCCTCTGGGCATGCATTCTTTCAAGGATACACATGCATGTGTGATTAACAATGATGCAGGAATACAGCACTAATTAGTATGTAGAGATAAGTCCCTTAGAGAGGACATATCAATTTACAAAGGGGGATTTTTTGTTTTTTAAGATGTTTGTGGATTGGATTACTTTTTTTTTTTTTTTTTTTTTTTTTTTTTTTTTTAAGTTTACAAAATAATAAACCAAGGTTTGATATTTTTTCATATCCGTATAGAAATCTATATTTTACTAACTAATATTTACTACAAGGTGCACCCATGACACTTGTTTTAGAGGGAATTTTGGGCTTTCTAACAAGAAACTTTATAAGGGGCATATTTGGACTGGAGACCCCTTAAGTCTCCTGGCATCTCACTAATCTATCAGTACAGATCTCAAACCATTTCCTAAAACTCAGTCTTTCAATCACTGAGCTCATGATGCCCCCCTCTCCCAATCAATCAAGATTAAAGGCTAAGTTGACCTTTCAGGGAAAAAATATATGCAGATATTTTTGAGGAAATAAAATGTGCATTTATTATTTTTATTATTATTATATAGGATTTATATAGATTGTAAGCTCGAAAGAGCAGGGCCCTCGAACCTCTCGTGTATGGTTTTGTTACTGTATTGTCTCATGTTCTGTCCCCCACTATAATGTACAGCGCTGAGCAAACCTTTTGGCGCTATATAAATAATGTATAATACAATAATATAGCGCCAACAGTTTGCACAGTGCTTTACAATATAAAGGGAAGAAACCGTATAATTACAATACATTTCAGTACAGAAGGAATAGGAGGGCCCTGCTCATGGAGCTTACAATCTTAAGGAAGGGGGAGGTGGTACAAAAGGTGATAGCTGCGGGGGATGATCTGATGGAGGTGGCTCAAGTACAGTTCTTAGGTGGAGGTGCGGTAGGCTTCCCTGAATAAGTGAGTTTTCAAAGATCACCTAAAGGCAGACAGGGTTTGGGCTGACCGGACATACTGCAGTAGGGAGTTTCAGAGGATAGGAGAGGCTCTGGAGAAGTCCTGGTGCCGAGCGTGGAAGGAGGTGACAAGGGAGCTAGAGAGCAAGATGTCTTGAGGAGGAGCGGAGCAAGTGATTTGAACAATATCTGTGGATGAGGTTGGTGATGTAGCTTGGGGCTAGGTGTTGTGGATGGCTTTGTATGCTGTGGTTAGTATTTTGAATTTTATACGTTGGGCTAGTGGAAGCCAATGAAGGGATTGGCAGAGAGGGGCAGTAGTCGCTGAATGGTTAATAAGGTGTATGAGTGTAGCAGCAGCATTCATAAATAGACTGAAGGGGGGATAACCTATGTAATGGTAGACCAGTGAGGAGGGGGTTACAGTAATCAAGGCATGGATAAGTTGTTTTGTGGTGTCATTGGTCAGAAAGGAGCGGATTCTGGAAATGTTGTGGGGGTTGAGGCAACAGGATTTAGCCAGTGATTGGATGTGGGGCCCAAAGGAGAGGTCAGAGTCTAGGATTACACCTAGGAACCTGGCAGTATTTATTATTTTTTTTATAAGTTAACAAAAAGAACAACAAAAAAAACACAAACAAAAATACAACCCCCCCCCCCCAAAAAAAAAAAACTAAATTAAAAAAAACAGGCAGACTGTCTTTTTCTGCCCTGACTTTTCTATGTTTCTACAGGAACTTGCAAAACATTGCAATGAAAGGCTCCTGCACACTCTCCCTCCAGCTTTCTTGCCTGTTCCATTGTTTGGGCTTTCAGGCTGCAGGCTGTGTTACCATTATTATATATATATATATATATATATATATATATATATATAATAATAATGGTAACACAATGCTCCAGATCTGTGCAATCACCTGCTACATGGAGCTGCAATGTGTACCAGTCCTTAACAATTAAACATGGGGTGATTGTGGGTGAAAAAATGCCCTTGTGTGCCCAGCCTTTGCATAATGTTTCCAAACTGATTTATGAATCTACCTAACCTGTCTACCATCCAGCGCATGCTAGTTTTTCTAAATTACCCCAAGAATCCTTATCATTTTTGATCATATCTTCTAAATAAGTACCAAAATTGCTAAAAGAACACGTGAGGTACATAAAGCTGACTGAACACCAATAAATTTCCTTCATTCAACCTGTGGACTGAAAGAAGAAAATCTAACAGATTCTGCTAGCCAAGCTAATAGTGCAGATGGACTAATTTTCCGTGCCAAGTTATTTATATTTTGACAGCCGTGAGCCCCAGCTGTCAGAATACCCAAACAATGCCTGCGGCTAATTGGCTTCAGGCACTGTTTGGCTGACCATTTTCAGTCCAGCTTCTTCCACAAATGTTGATGAAGTAATTTACTTTTGTCAAGCCAACAGGGCCACCTACTGTTCCTCTGAATTTGCCAAAATTCTAATAATGTTTGGCAGGCTTGATTATGTTTGATGATTATGCAGTGTTAAAAGCACTCCAGCAATCCCCAATAGTAATGACCAAATACTGTGAGTATCCAATCAACTGCTACTTCTGTGTAAACTTGCTGCTGGTATTGGCTTTTATAATATGTGAGTTTGCATTTTAATGTCTTAATAAACATTTGTGCATTCTTACTACACAAAGTTTTCCTCCCTACATGTCGTTACTTTTGGGGATTGCTGGAGTGCTTTTAACACGGTATATGTGAGAATCCATAGAGACTGGGCAGCTGCATATATCTTGAAAGCTTTATAACCATATTTTACAAGGTGGTCATATATATTCGGAAAGATATTCCTGCACACACCAAGGTGTTTTTAATGGCTTCCTTCTACAGTTGGTGGATGGAAATTACTGTCATTTTCTTAATTTTTGATGTTTACTATTTCACATTTTTGGCACATTCAAGAGGATGGACACTTTTGGTTATTGTCTTCACTATATGGTTTTGGTGGCTTTTTGATGCCTCCCTTATATATGGACACTTGATGGGATTTTTGAAATGTTGATTTAATGCTTTTTTTGATATGCCTATTTGCTTTATTTATTTTTTTGAGGTAGGGATTTTTATTCCTATTGTCAGAGTCTGTAACAATGAGAACAGTGAGCAGCACAGAAGTGGCATTACCAAATCTCACTGCAAAGCTCCTGAGACTAGCAGTCAGGAGCACCAATGCCTTAGAGCTCATACTACAAACATGCTGTAGACACAGGACACAAGCACATTTGCATACGAGGAAGTGCACTGCTATTTTTCAAAAATAATTACAGACAAAAGTTACATTTTTCAGGGTACTACTTGGGGACATTTTCCAATAACAGAAGAAATCTTAATTTTTTTAACTTTAGTTTCATTTTAAAGAAATAAATGTGCAGCTGTGTTTTGTGTGTTTAGTAGCTAACGGCATTTGTCTGTCAAAATGTCACTTCTAAAATAACAGTAAACACATTTAAATATTACAAAATCTTGAAAATGTTTAGACTTTGGTACTCTAAACAAAGAAAAAAACATTCTTTTTTAGAATGAATTTTTGAATGTTTTATTCATTTACATTTGGTTTGTTCAGTGTTGCCTATTTCAGTTAAATTGTCAAAGTAAATGGTTAAATGTATATTATTATTATTATTTGCAGATTCAGAAAAAGGAATGGGCAAGATTAGCAAAGAAGAGATATGGAATGAGGCTACGTGTGCAGAGCCTGTTGCTCATGGAGCTGAAAGGTCAGTCTTCACTTATCTCCCTTCAGTAAAATAAAATCTGGTTGCTGTCATTTTATTGGTAATGTTTCTATCGCATTAAGCTTTGCATTGCCGTATTTACTAGTTGGTTGCTGTTCTGGCTCCCTTGGTCTTTTGTGCAACTTTTCTACTCCCTCCTAGCAGCTGGCAGTGCTCAGACCAGGAGGTCTTCTGAAGCCTGAATGGTCTTAGAAGTGCACCCATCAGAACCACAGGTAAACAAAAACAGACAACTTCTGTTGAGGGCAGAAAATGAATTCCCTGTCACCATCAACCTGATTCATTTCAAAACATGGCAGTCTTCAGATCACTACAGGCTCTAAGCAAAACAGGACATGAAGCCTTACATAACCTCTGAATTGAAGGCACATGAAAGTAACCATAGCAGATCTGTAGATCTGATAAATGCAATGTAACTTCTACAGAGAGGTTCTACAGAGCAACAGATGAAAGTAAGTGCCTGAACAGAATTATAAAAATGGAATGAATCAAGATTGAATTATGAAAAAGAGAAATAATGCCAATAAAAAATCATCTTAAATTGGCAAAGAACTCATATTAAATACCAAGAAGGAAATAAATGGCAGTACTTATGTGTAACTGAAAAAATGTCATAGTCTGGTTTAAGTCATGTCTGTCTTGTTGATCCATTACTTTTTTTCGAGGAGAGACATTTAGTCACTCTCTTGTCTTGTTGGCGAAATGTGTTCCACAACTATGGTCTGCATCTAAGTGTGACTTGTCCAAGAAATGACGGAACACTGGCTTTTCATTGTTCTTCTGTCAGATTGTATGTCTGTACTGTGATGTACAGTCCTGATCTCTTTGTGTGGTCTCCCCCACATAGTAGAACATGTAAAGTGGACATCAGACAAGTCACATAGGTATGTATGGGTAAAACACCAAAAGACCATTTTCTAGGAGTACTAAGAATCCAGTCTTTCACTAGGATATCGTTAATGATCACAGTGTTTGCTTTTCATGTAGTAGGTTCAGTCTACGTAGATGACTGAACAAACAAAAGCAAACATGCATTCTTAAAGGTCGGAGCACACCACCCACAACATTTGTCATATATTCTTAACTACTACTGTTGGCCAATTACTGTGACCATACATTAGGTCCATGTAAATGCAATTCAGGTGGATTTTGCATTGTACAATTTCCTCTGAAAGTCTGACTAGAAATAAACTGAAATTTGGGCACTCATGACTGGCTTGCTATGGGAGAACTTAACACAAGAAAGTAGCCAGGAGTGCCGGAGGGGGACCCGAGAAGAGGAGGATCGGGGTTACTCTGTGCAAAACCATTGCACAGAACAGCTAAGTATAACATATTTGTTGTTATAAAAAAAATTATTCATTTCAATAACTTTAACAGAACTTTAACAGAACTGAATTGCATTTAGATAGCAACAGTATATAAAGACCGTAATTGATGAAAACAAACATTGGCTGGCAAAGTTGGGGCCCTTGCAAACAGACAACAGATGAACTTGTGAATGTTAGTCACTTACCAGACCTAAGACACCCTCTTCTGGGTCTTTGGAGGTGTGCTCTGATTCAGTTCAAATCCTCAGACAGGGACAGAAGTTGCCATGATTTTTCTTTTCCAGTCCTGCTGAGACAGTCTCTTTTTTCCTTTCTTATAAACAGTGGCGGTGCTCTCTAGTACAGGCTGATAACACTAAGCATCAAAATCACTCCTCACACTCTCCCAGGGAGAAGGTTCCTAGTATCTGAGACAAAGTCCTGTGTGATGAGCAGCCTCTTTGCTTCTCTCAGGTTCCATCTGATTGTGATCAGCTATGGCAGGGTTCTGTTCAGTCAGCTGCTCAGTCCTTTCTCCAAGAGCCCTGCTATCCTTTTTTTGACTGCCCCCTCCTTTCCTATTTTGCTTTGTTGCATCAGCCAATTACATTCCTCAAGGATTGATCCAGACCCAGCTAAGATGGCTGCCCACTGCACTGGAGATACTGCATAGTGGTCTCCTTAAAGATGGCTACTGCGCTCCTCCATTAATGAATATTTAGTTTAGCTCCGCACAGGGGCAGACTGACAACTCATGGGGCCCCCAGGCAATAAGGGATCATGGGGCCCCTGTGTCCTTGCCCAAACTCAAAAAAGCCTATGAAAAAGGTACCAGGGGCATCTCATGGGGCCCCCTACTGACCCCAGGCCCCATGGTCCAAATGGTCAGTCCGCCTCTGGCTCTGCACACACTCCAGAAGGATAATACAGGAGTAACAAAAAAAAGTTCTGCAGTAGTTGTCAGCTACAATCCAGGTTACAGATGAATGAGCCTTTAACTTGAAATTATGTATGTCTTTGCACTAGTATTGTAGGACTGTAGGTAGCCTCAATCTATTTCTTTTTTTGCAATGTCTGTTTTGCATCTATGAGTACATTCCATTTTTAAAATAAAATGCACATATATATACCGGTATGTGTGTGTATATATATATATATATATATATATATATATATATATATATATCTATCCTGGTGTATAGACTCATTACAAGAGCAGAGATGCTACAGATTTCTCCATTTCTCCATATTATTATTATACAGTATTTATAAAGTGCCAATAGTTTGCTCAGCACTGTACATTACATAGCTGTTTGCTAAATCTCCTCTTCTTGGCATTAACAGAAACCTAGGAAAAAAACAAAATGTATCTGCACTGCATAGTAACTTCTTTGAACACTTCCAGTCCCACAGATGGAAAATGTAAACCAGAAACCGAGTCCCAGCTAACGATTGATTCATTCTTTGAGTCTCTGTCATCAACCCAGTGTGTGCCAGAAAAGGTGAGTATAGTTTATACACTTGTGTCTCTTTATTTGTGCTGTATTACAGTAATGGTATTTTAATGTGACGTTTGCTTTTGCATACAAGTAAATATTGCTGATTTAATTCACCACTTTCTAGTTATTTATGCTCTGGCTTTGTACTCAAAAATGCACATTCAGGATATTTGGTGGTCAGATATCCATGAAACGCAGTGAACGTACCCTATATACAGTTATAAACTGCTCTAATATATATTTATTTTAATCTAGAAGCTAAACAAATTCTTCTAATATTGTTTCATACGTTATGCCACATTTGATCAGTTAGTGAGAACATTTTACATATTGAACGGGTAAATGTGTCCTTTTTAACCACTTTAAAGCCATCTAACAAAAAGAAGTGCAAGTAGATGCTTTGCACAGGCCCGCTAATGTGCCCTATATTTGAGAAGGTCACAATAACGGTACAAACTAATATAAAAAAAAAAAACTTTTCTTAAAATAAAAGTCCAAAATCTCAAAACACACCCCACTTTTATAAACAAATATTCAATAAGCCAATGTTCAATAAAGTCTCTTTTTTTCTTCTTTTCCACGAAAAAATCCTTTTTCTCAACACCGGTACATTCTGATGCCCATATACCTCAAAAAGAAAAAACTTTACATAGTGTCATACCTTTTTGAAATCAAAACACACGTGCTCTTAACAGTGCACCATGCACTACTTGTGAAAACACTCAAGCAGAAAAAAAAAAAAAATATATATATATATATATTAACTCTCTATGTGAATATCAGCATATATTATTAATATAGGTATCCATGTCACCAAATCTATGACCAGTGAGACAAATACAAATCACATCCACTATGTGAATCTGTGACACTTATGACACTACAACTTAGTGACACCGCACTTGCAATAAGTGATCAAACACACATCCCCAACCAAAACCGTGATCTCCAACTCCTTGTGTAAGATGGATAATTACCCTCTATCACCACAAACAGGGCTAGATATAGATCTCCTTAGCTGTAGAAATCCATCCAATATTAGGTCCAATAAAGTAATATATCTTCCATTCTCCTCATAAGAAAATCCAAGTTACATATGGTAGATTCAAAAAATTTTGAATGATTTTTGAATCTACCATATGTAACTTGGATTTTCTTATGAGGAAAATGGAAGATATATTACTTTATTGGACCTAATATTGGATGGATTTCTACAGCTAAGGAGATCTATATCTAGCCCTGTTTGTGGTGATAGAGGGTAATTATCCATCTTACACAAGGAGTTGGAGATCACGGTTTTGGTTGGGGATGTGTGTTTGATCACTTATTGCAAGTGCGGTGTCACTAAGTTGTAGTGTCATAAGTGTCACAGATTCACATAGTGGATGTGATTTGTATTTGTCTCACTGGTCATAGATTTGGTGACACGGATACCTATATTAATAATATATGCTGATATTCACATAGAGAGAATTATATATATATATATTTATTTTTTTTTTTTTTTTTCTGCTTGAGTGTTTTCACAAGTAGTGCATGGTGCACTGTTAAGAGCACGTGTGTGTTGATTTCTAAAAAGGTATGACACTATGTAAAGTTTTTTCTTTTTGAGGTATATGGGCATCAGAATGTACGGGTGTTGAGAAAAAGGATTTTTTCGTGGAAAAGAAGAAAAAAAGAGACTTTATTGAACATTGGCTTATTGAATATTTGTTTATAAAAGTGGGGTGTGTTTTGAGATTTTTGGACTTTTATTTTAAGAAAAGTTTTTTTTTTTTTTTTTTTTTTTTTGATATTATCTTGTAACCTTCAAGGGTGGAGGTATATTACTTTTCTGGGTTTTTTATTTGGTGTGCTTTGTCTTTGAGAAATATATAACGGTACAAACTGTTTACTGCCCAGTCTACCAGCAGTCCTCCTGCTAATGGGGAGAAAATAATCCCTGACTAGCAACTGAATTTCTGTAGAAAAGTCTGAGGCACCACCTTTGTATATATGTATTACCAATTGCAACTGTCCCACATTGGCTCTAAGACCAAGAACTCAGCGATCACATGACTGCTGATTGTTAATTTCTTGGTCTGCTTAGAGTGGAAAGCAATGACTCTCAGTCACCCCTCTCTGCTCTTACCCTCCCGCTCTCACTGGAGCACTGGGCTGGAGAGGTGGCGGGCACAGCTGTCTTTGGCTCTCAACTGCTTGCTGAGAGGAAGAGCCAACTGTCAATCGAACAGCGGGGTGGATCCAAACAATATGGTCGGGATCCTTCCAGAGTGTTTATTGGCTTTGCCACGTCAGCTGACAGCAGGAATTATCTTGCCATCAGCTGGGTCACAGGAGAGCAAAAGTAAGTGAACTCCTGTACTCCTGTAGCCCACAAGAGAAGTAGGTCCCAAAACGTATTGGCCACGCTTCTCTTTTAAAGAGCACACAAAGAAAAAAGCTAGGAAAGATGTACCCTTCCAGGTAAAGACAAATTTGCTTTAAAAACAGACTAAAGAATAAACCGGTTGATAAAGGTTGCTATTTATACCCACTTATCTGTAATCTTTGTATTTTTTTTATCCTTGTAATATTTTTACAGAAAAGACTCAGCAATGATATCCCAGCAACAGATGGCTTACACAATGTTACATTTTCCTCTGCTGCTGATGCAGGATGCCCACATGAGCAAGGTAAAGTGAATATAAAGGATACTTAATTTTTGAGATATTCAAATAGATTTTACCACAGTAAGGCTGACTGTTGAAATCTCCTGTGTATGGTATAACACATTTTAGTTTACAGACTAAAATGAAGGTTTGTACTTTAGTTGTAGTCAGATTGGATGAGTTGGATTGCAGAACGCTGAACTCCAGGCTAAACTTTGTCTAAATCAAGAGACTTAGTGTGGATTCACACATGAGCGGTGCGAATTGACGCTCCGTTTTCACAGCTAATTGACAAAGTAGTTGTTCAGTGGTTCAGGTCAGATTTAGATCAGGATTTTATCCTGTTCCCAACTGATGATGTGTGATTCAGAAGCGGTTCCCATAGAAGTCATTAGCCTGTAATCCACATCTGAACCGGACCACACTGCTTAGAAATCAGACAGGACTCTTTTTTTTTTTTTTTTTTTTTTTTTTTAATCCACATTGAATCCGCACTGCCAGTGCACCAGACATATGTGAACAGGCACCATAGGAAGCAGTGTTATTTCACGCAAATTGCATCCAATCCGCATATATGAACCGCAACTTATTCTTATTCGGTGTCATATGTGCTTTTCTTCTGATTACTTCAGTAATCTGGCATGAAATAACCTCTGCACTTTCCTTTAATAAAGACCGGTCATCTGCCCATCCTCTGCAGGCAGCCTGTTGGGTCTCCCCCTACAGCTCTTCTCTCTGCACAGGCTATGTGCAGAACAGATTATATCGCTGCTATATTTACAAGGTAACAACTGGTTTTGCCAAGGCTTTTGGTTCACACAAAGTGAATTTATATTCTCTATGGCTGCTGAGGAATATAATTAAATTAACATTTGTATGCCCAGAGTTAAGCTTTAAGTAGGCATTCCCCAGCTGCAGCAGACATCCTTGACAAAGCCTGCTAAGGGGGAGAGTCCATTGGTCGGGTTGCGTTTGCCTTGTTGATTACTATTTTCTGTGCAAATGAAAAATCATTTGGTGCCCAGATTGTGTATGCACAGTGAGCCACCATGTGAAGTTTTTAGGCAGTTTTAGTTTAATCATACAGGCTGACTGTAGTGTGGTAAGATGAGCTAAATACGTTGTTACCATTGCTAATTAGGTGTCATAATGAGAAAAAGAAAACCTTTAAGTGAAAATGTGTTTTCTCTAACGTAAAACACAATTGATCATTAAATTATTTTAAATTGTGTCTTGCATATAAATGTGCATTGTTTACCATGTCAGCTTTTAACTAAAGTATTTGTTTTTATTATAGAGCAACACATAAAATATGTACCAGATTTCACAGAGCAAGTACCCCAAAATTCCACACCAAAACTTATTCCATTAAGCAGAAAAACATCTGTTCCAGGGAAAAGTCCAAAGGAAGAAGCTAGTAGTCCAAGTAAAATACCTGTGAAAAGGAATACAAGTAGGGAAGCATTTAAACCAGAAGCCTCTCTACATTTGGATCAGTCAGGTACTGCATCAGGGCACTCAGCACTGTCTTCTCCAGATGGAGAGCCCACTAAAAATGTCAAAACAAATGCAAACTTTGAAGTGCATTCAGTAAAAGAGATGCAAGCAGAGCAAGAGCAAATTCTAGATAAGGAACAGTTTAAGTCACTAAAGAAGTTTTGGGAGAAAGGAGCTGAAAATTCTGGAAATACACATAGATATGCAGATCAAGAAGTATCGGATATGAGAAGTTTACAGCAACCACCTACAAAGCCAGCTCGTTCACTTCCCATCCAAGCTAGTATAAAATCTAACAATGAAGAGAGGTCATATCCTGAGCATACACACAGAATAAAACATTTACCACAAAGGATACCAGTTGCATCATCTAGTGAGGATGAAATTGTCCATGTGGCTCCACCCCGAAAAAGTTCATCTTTTATACCAAGGTCAACCTATGCCAAAAGCAAGGGTTCTTCTCCATCAAAAAGCTTATCATTATCAGAAAGCAATGGATTAATATCACACAATGAGGACAGCAGTGGAACTGGTCGTTCTTCTAAGAAGTCAAAGCTTCCAGTTAGAGCCTCACAAGCAGCTAAAGAACCTAAAGAAGATCCTAATGTACCTGAAGACAAGCTACCAAAAGTTTCTGACCCAGGGGTTCCAGATTCGATTGAAGATTTTATTGTACCAGAAACAAAGCCAAACGTACAGGAATCTCTCTATAGCAGGGTCCAGATCCTAATTGACACTGTGTCCTCAGATGAAGAGCATGGTAGTACAGAAGCTAAGCCCAAAAATGAAGATTCAATGGTACACACATCACAGGAAACAAAAAATGGTATTATTTTATTACTAGTTTACATCTTTTTCTACATAGTAAATATAGTAGTGATTACTAAATGTGAATAAGATGGCATAGTGCAGTTTTCACATAGTAACTGAAATGCTTGGTTTTATTTTCTGACTTAATCATTTTGCTTCGGTCCATAGCAATACACAGAGACCAGGCAGCAAGGAAGTTTAATTACACATTTTAGAGATTAGTAGGAAAGGCATGAATGTGTGCAAGGTTCAATTAACTTTTTTTCTTCCTTTCTACATTTGTAGTATTGGTAATATAGCAGTGTGGTACAGTACATTAAATATTGTTTACCTCTAAAATACAAGTGTAAAAGTGTCCATACTATTGGGAAGGCTTTGGCAGTTGGAGCGTGTGGGAAGTTGTAAGCACAGTATAATGCAGTTGTTCAGACAAGCTAAAAGTTTTTATTCATTCATTGTCAAGTTAACAAACAGAAACACAATTATACCTGACTCACTCCCTACCAGCCAACAAACAAGATCTGGCTAATTCTAGTTTCAAAGCAGGTGGTCTTACGTACATTTGCTCATGAGCCTGCTTTGCAGTGTGCAGTCCTACTCTAAACAGTGAGAGCGCCAACCATGTGACGCATATAGAAGAATTTACTGAACCGAGAGCAATCATGTTGGGTAATCATTTTAATATGTCTAATATGAAGCTTGAGCAAGAGCATATAACACTATAGCTCAATGTAACAGTTTGTAATATCTGTTAGATGAACCCAACCCCTTTCATCGCTCACAGACTAGTCTGTATCCCCCTCTGGCTCCCTGTAAACAGCTGGTTGCCAAGGCCATAGAGTCCGCTCTTGCTTCACTGTAGTCTGTCATCCAAAAATTGGGCTGCACACTAAAAATGTTCAACTCCAGCAAAGGTTAATTTCATTGACATCACGCTGTTTACTCCCACCCAAAGCCATGCCTCAAATGTGTTTCATCCCCAGCAGGGCTTAATCATGGGTTTACGTCACATCATCATCACATTACGTAACACAACCTGCATGTGTCTCGCCACCGCCATCACAGCATGACCCGTATTTGTCTAGTTTCCTTTATCCATGTCATTGGCAATCTTTATTTGGGCTAGGTGGGCTTACCTACTCTATGGGCCTGAATGTTTAGATTTTAATTCACAACCATCGTCCTAATTACAAATGTAGAATAAACACAGATTGCCTATTACTACACAAAAATTATACCTGTACTTGCAAATTCACATTAGAGATGCAGAAGTTATTTGTTTTTTTTAGGAACAACACAATTTTTAATATTACTGTCATATTTCATTCTATTTACATTCCGTGAATAAAATCACAAACGATGATGTGTTATTCTATATGATCTATCAAATTCAGAAATCTTATTTCAATGTATATCTCAATCAAAGAGATACTATTTTCATGCATCTTCATAGGCTTATTAATCCTTCAAAATTATATTCTTTTTTTTTTTATCATTGTAATTTATTTAAAAATGGTTCAATATTTATAGTACACAGTTGTAATTATTAGCATCACAAGCCACATCTGTTTTAGTCTTAAGATGCTAGTGACATTTATGACGTTTGTGTATTAAATCACATGAAAATCCTTACTAAACTGATTACTTTCAGATTAATTTCATACCGCAATTTCCAGAACCCTGTTTCTAATGTTTTCATTTTTTTATTTTTTTAGTTTTTGTTTTAAGTTTTTTCCTATTGGGAATGCATCAAATTCAACATCATGTCAACCAAGAAGATGTGTGGGTCAACAACAATAATATCCCTTCTTTTTTTTCCCCATGTTGAATCTGACAACTATAATAAATTAATGTATTCATTTACAAAAGGCAGATATATGTATAACCTTCAATCAGGCGATGAGGTACTCTATAATTCAGTCTAAAATCAATTTTGTCGCTGTTTGCAGAAGTATCTGATCCAAGTCAACTTTTCTTAGGCCCAGTATTTTTTCCTGGATTATCCAAAACTTTAGACATTTTAGGGTTTCCTCTGTGTTCTGCCCATACATGTCTTGCTAAAGTTTTATTCCTTTTCAACAGGATATAATTTGCATGTTCAATTACTCATCAATTGTCCAACCACAGGTTGCAGGAAAGAAAATCACTTAATTTCTCCAATAACACTGACCATCAACACAACAATCCCTCTCGCTAAGCCTGTCTGGACTTGTAGTTCATTCATTCACAGAACTTTGTGAATAAATGATGCGGCCATGTGAGCAGAGCCATGCTGTTTTTAAAAAGTGACACTTGTATGAGGAACAATACTGTACTGCTGTGAAAGAGGAGGTGGGGGGAATCAGGCAGTGACTGCAGAATTGGGAACATGTTACATGTTCCACCCTAAAAGCAGTTGGAACATATAACATGTTCCCAAAGGTGAACTTATCCTTTAAAGTGCCATTCAGCTCCAATCAGTAGTGTTGAACACAGATTCCATTGGAAGTGCTGATTGCTACTTCAAACAAGCTGCTAGCAGACTTCAGAACTTCTCCCTGTACTGCTGGGAAAGAGGGGGGGGGATCGGGCAGTGACTGCAGCATTGGGAACATGTTACATGTTCCACCCTAAAAGAAGTTGGAACATGTAACATATTCACAAAGGTGAACTTATCCTTTAAAGTACCATTCAGTTCCAATCGGTAGTGTTGAACACAGATTCCAATGGAAGTGCTGATTGCCATTTCAAACAAGCTGCTAGCAGACTTCAACATGACTTGTTGAAAGACTGCTGTTATACAAGTTGAAGCCCTGTGAAGGAAGCCTTCCATTCTTCTTTTTTTTTTTTTTTTTTTTGTGCAAAAGCAGCCAATCCTGAGTTGAAAAGCCTATTCACTGCCAGCATGCTGCAGAAAAACACCCTTGCTATTTGTTTGGAAGCAGTTGTCTTTTTGCAGAGCTCCCAGTTGCTTGAGTCAGTGCTCTGTAATCAGCAGGGAGCATGAGCTTTTCTGAATGCATGAAACCATTGCTTCTGCAGAAAGGATGGGTCCTTTTCTGCAGCATACTGGCAGGAGTCATGCTTTTCAAAGTGCTTTAAGCTAGAAGTTTGTGCTATGAATGGAATATTAGAATGCAGTATAATGAAGAAACAGTAACCCCGTTTCATCTTCAGACAGGAACGTTGATGATTATCCCACTGAAGTTTCTGCATCTAAGTCTAGTAACGTTAGCAACGCCAGAAGTATGGTGAACATTTATACAACGACAGAAAGTAAGTTTATCAAAAATATTTTATTGACTCTTCCAGTAATTTTCACTTCAGGCTTCACTAGCTTTTTTTATTCTGAATATTTTTTTTTTTCCTCCTGGACATTTAATGGGTCTTTTAATTCTACATGGGGAGTAAACTATGCAGAAGGTGACAGGATAAGGCTGGTACCCATCTGTCAGCTCACCCTTGGAAACCAAACATTCAGTCTATAGTTCTTACTCTTTGCTTGTCCTCATCCTTTTCCTGATACAATTTGTGGAGTTAGGTGTCAAACAAACTATTTTAGAACCTTTTTGTTTTGTATTAAAAAGATGATGACAGCTTGTACAGAAAAGGCATTTCTAGTACAAGGTATCTCTCTTGATAACAGTGATTCCCATTGATTTCATGTGTGACCTCTTGCTTATTAATGGTACAGTATGTCATACTTTCTTTGATTACATGATCATTTTAATATTTAACAATAAGAAATTGTATACTTGTAAGAAAGAAGCAGTGCAAGTTCAGCATCAGTACAGTCCCTTCAGTATTGGCATACTACCAGGGCCAAATACATGCTCCATGCACTCCTAAGTCAACTGCCAGCGGCAATAGTGCCACTTCCCTCTTCTGTCCCTGTCAACTTGCTTATCTTTCCATCCTCCCATCCATCATAAATGGACTCCTTAGTATCACACTGACAAGATCAGATGTCCTAGTGCCATAAGGAAATCTGATTCCAGGAGCAGTTTGACCCGAAAGAGACAGTTTGCTCATTTTGCATCAGTATATCTAGAAACTATGCCTAGAACAATAATGCAGCCTTACTCTGTAACATGTAACAATGTTACTCTGTAACTTACTTTGCAGCAGCCATAAAGTGGTTGTAAAGGCTTCAGGTTTTTTACCCAAATGCACATGTGTCAAACACAAGGCTCGAGGGCTGAATCAGGCCCGCCAGCCATATGTAGCCCTCACATTTCTCCTGCATCTGTGGCTCCCCCCCCCCCCCTCATCTCTGCCCCACTTTGTGTTAGCAGTTGGCAGCAGAGAGGGGGACAGAACAACTCCTACAGATCCTCAGCCTCTCTGTGCAGCCGCAGAACCCCCTCTTCTCTGCCTTCCCTTAGTCTCAGCATTCAGCATGCTGTAGCAGCTGATTCCAGTCCTCCTCTGGTCCTCATCCAGACCCTGCACTTTCTGCCTCCCAGCTCCGCTCCAAGATTCTTCCCAGCAGCAGCACAGGGTAAGGGGGACGCCCTGTGATGCAAGGGAGGGTGGAGGACTTTTTACTTCTGATGGGAAGGGGGGGTACTTGACATCTGATTTAAGGGGGTGAGGTGGGGTGTTCTGGACATCTAGACTTACAAATACAACCAGCCCTTTTAACCATACAACAACCATAATGCTGATGTGGCCCTTTAAGAAATTGAGTTTGACACCTCTGCCTTAATGCATACTCTGCGTTAGGTCCCTTTCACATAGGCAGTCAGATCAGATCCACCTGTCAGTTTTTCAAGCAGATCTGATCAGAAAGTCCATGCATTCCCATGGACAGGCAGCTGTAACTGGACTTGTGTTCGTTTACAACCGCCTACCTCCTGGTGAGATCTGGTCCGCTAAAAAAAAGTAAGGTGATCCATCCTTTTATTTAGGTGGATCGGATTGGAGTCATTTACTCTTGGCCGCCAATAGAGCAGAGTGAGCTGTGTCTGCTCTGTAGAAACTGAACATAGATGTGTTATCTGCTTGCTCTGTTTTGATTAGTGGTGGATCTGTGAGCTGTTCCCCTGCAGATCGTAACAGTATCCATCCCATGTGAAAGGGGCCTTATGGTAAAAAAAAAACCTTTTATATGCAGCCCCCCCCCCCCCCCCCCAAATACTTGCCTGAGTGCTGTGCCCAAGAGCAGTGGTGCTGCTTTCTCTTTCTCTCTCCCTCCCCCCTCACTCCTCACTGGACTTAGTGAGAGCAGTGGGAGCCATTGGCTCTTGCTGCTGTCAGTCAAATCCATTAATGGGGGGGGGGGGGGGGGGGGGGAGTGGGCCGAGCAGCAGCACTGTGTGTCAGTAGCCTGGGATCGAGCCTGCACATGGCTTCCTACGGTTGCACATGGAGAAAAGGGGAGCCCAGAACACAGGTGGGGGACCCCAGAAGAGGAGGATCTGGGCTGCTCTGTGCAAAACATTGCACAGAGCAGGTAGGTATGACATGTTATTACAAAAAAAAAAAAAAAAAAGTCTTCACAATTACTTTAAATTGGCCATACATGGTTAGTTTTTCATAATTCTGCCAACATCCTCCTCCTCGTGTTGTGAAATGAGAGATCAGTTGGAAATCCAACCAGGGTTGCCAGATAAAAAGAAATTTGTAGTTCTAGTCTTCCAATATTGCTGTCAATTTTTGGTTAACAAGGAATCCTTGGAGTCTACCATTAACTTCCTCGAATTGGAGACTCAGTGTCCTCCACGCACATGCTATGGTCTGCTTTGTTGCCATAAAGATGAATGCAATCAAGACACGGGATCACCGGGGAGCCTCTACTATCTGTTTATGTAAGAGGGTCTATCATGGGTTTTTCTGTACAGGACCACCGTATATGGTACATTGTCCCTTCGGCCTTGAATCCTCTGAAACAGGAGGAATCATATTCAGGGACATATTTAGCTATACGTACCGGGGTAAAATACCATAGAGTGAGGACTTTGTAAGAGTTTTCAAAGGCCTTTATAAAGCGGGAGCATTTAGCAACTGTTTGCCATATACATACCCAGTTCTCAAGAACTAAGCCCTGTGCAGGTTTCTACAGGATCCAGCTGCCTGGGCAACGTGGGACATATTTCTTTACAGGTAAGTTAGACACTAAAGCTATAGAGGTGTTTTATTATTAAACGCTAAACTTCAGCTTTAAACCTATTGTCATAGGAGAAAACCTTCTATATGCATACTCTGTATCTACCACTGACCAGATGAAAAGGTATTATTTACACATGACAAACATAGATATTTTTTATAATTAGTGGAACGAGGAGAACTTTGTGTTTCAGAGGTGTCACATAGCCTGCTTCATCAGGACAAGCATCTTGGATGTCAAAAGAAGTATAAGATTATTTGTGGTGTTCAGTTGCACTACAAGTGCGACTAGAAGCCCCCAAACAAAGCTGTGTATGCAGGGGTACTATGAGGTGACAAGGAGACTCATCCAGGCCATTACACGGTAAATATCGCTTATAGTTTTTCCGAGATGTGGAAAACACAACTGCTGGCTGTATTGGGAAAAGGTAGTTACTGGTACTTACTGTAGCACCACCCCCTTACAGGTTGCTTAGTAATTATTTTGGGTTCCCTGTCAATCTGAACCTCTGCTTGCAAACCCGACCTCTGCTGACACCACCATGCTCCTGTGACCACAGTAAATCACAACTGTTGGAATCAAAGGTAACTTGGTCAAAAAGAACAGAATGACATTGAAATATGCAGCAAATATAACCACTCTTGGTAATTGTGAGCACAAGTAACAACATTCAACATGAAGCACCAATAATTATCAGGCTTGCTTTCAGATATAATCCACCGCCTCCAATCTGAGGGGCTACTGAATCCCCAGTGAGCAGAAAGCAACTATCAAGAAACCGGTGAGCTCACTGTAGGTTCCCAGAACTGGATAACAAGGATTAGATGTGAAGGAAAGAGAATTGTCATTGAAATTGAGCACTGTCCCTTTAAGTACACTACAGTGTCTTCTGCGCGTTCCTTGGGGCCCAGTTGGCATGATGTTGAGTTGAGACGTGTAATATAGTTCCCTGGGATGGTGATACAGAGATAGTGAAGGAACAAGGGGAGAATTAACATTTTCCTCTTGATGGTAGCAAATTAAGGCAGGGTCCCCTTTAAAGCACTAACATGGGGCAGGCTTGAAGTGATGAAAAGCAACAGCTGACATAAATGTCTATAGGCAAGGACAGCTCTCTTTATATATCAAAGGCAATGGTTAACAGTAATGGGAATCCTGCTTTGTTGAGGAAGGGAAACTTGTTTCAGTAGCCACTTCTATATCCTGGCCTGCAACTGTATGCCCTGTGATCAGCTTGTACACGAACTGCAATGGAGATGTATCTCAACAATGGTGGCGGCAAGAAATAGGCTGCAAACTGATGCAACTATATGTAATGTTCACAACTATGTGTAGGTAGACAGCTGAGGTGGCAATTTGCCAGTATTCACTAGTGGATGCATGGGTTTCTCTCACCCGGTTAAGTAGTCTGGCAGATTGTAGCGGTCTGTCTCTCTCTCTCTCTCTGTAAACAGGGGCAGTCCAAAGAATCTCCAGCTCAGACTCGGCATTCCGTCTGGCCTGCTGCTGTCAGCTTCACCTGCTAGGCAGCATGGCAGACCGGGTGGTCAGTAGGCTTCTTTCCACTCTTCCTTTCTCTCCAAGTCAGGCTCTGTGGCCTAGTTCAGCACTTCAGCCATCAGCACACCTCCTTTTCTTTCAGTCTCTCTCTGCACTTTCCTGGCCAGTCTCCTGGGCTTTGATATTTTTATATTCCCCTACCCACATGTTACCTCTCTTGGGAAATGTAGTTCCTGACCGCCCTGCTCACCAGGTGAGTCCTGCTATACAGCATACAAGTTCCAGAGGGCTGTTCTGTCCATGTGAGTGACCCTGAATGGCAGACCACCGCCATCTAATGTCAATTTTACTGTACTGCAAGTAATCACATTTCAATGGGTTACATTACTATGGACAGCCCTTTAGTTCTTCACTGGAAACGCCTGTTTGCTGATTTGCCCCAACAGTTCATCCATATACTTGTCATAGGAGAGGGGAATACTGACAAAAAACATGATCATTGCTTAGTTGAAACATCCTCAAACCCAGCATAGTGTTGAGGCTTGAGGACATTTCAGCTAAGCATCATGTTTTTTTGTTACGTACCTTATATTACATGATTTTTACCAACATAGACAGTAGATGTGGCTCCCACCGCTCAGTAACACTGTTGTGAGGTTAACCCCTAATGACTCAGATGGGTCCAGCTGTCTTCTCATAGTACTCCTGCACCGACCGCTTTGTATGGGGGCTTTGGGCCACATCTGTGGGACAGCCGAACAACAATAATCTTGCATGTCTTTTGACATGGATTACATGCTCTTTGTGAAGCAGGCTCTAAGACACCTGTGAAAAGTGTAGAGTATCTCCTATGTATATAGAGATGCTTCATTCCCAGGCACAGGCCTTTCCCAATGTCTCTCTATTAATTTCCTTCTTTTGTTTGTCTCAGCATATAGCAAACCCAACACATTAAGCCATCAGCTTCTGGAGCCCGAACGAGCTAAAGAGCTGAGCAGATCCACTCCAGCCCTGCACTCTGAGGTGAGTTTTGCTGCACTTCACATGCAGAACCTTTATTGAATGCTACAGTCATGCACATTAAGTGTAAGTCGCGGGTATCTAAACTTATTTGTTGATGCATGAAGACAATTTAATACTTTCAAAAATACATTTTAATATGTTTGTTTTTCTGGATATATTGTAGACAGAATCTGACACTGCATCTGAAATTAGCTTCAAACTCAAAAGGCACAGAAAGACACAGAGTAGTGGCAGCAACTCCTCCGACATGGCATCCGTCTCTTCTGTAAGTACGTCTGGATGAAGACTACTGAGACAAAATGAATGACCAACTGGCCTCTTCTGCATAACCTAAAAAATGGAAGGAGCTGATCTGATTGATTTATGTGGGCAGCACAGATGTTTCAGACATTTTTGTAAATGCGTCTCATTGGTACAAAATGAGGCTAGTTTTATAAAACATATTTTTGTAGTTGGCTTGTTATAAGACAAACAATTGTATTGTGTTGGTCTAGCAACATGCATGCACTTCATATTAATTGAAAGCAGAAGCAAAGTTCTTGGCTATACTGAAGTACCCATTGCTAACATTCTAAGCCTATTTTCAGGCAGCCAGGTAAATATAAAGCTGAGATATGTGTGTGTAAACTGTTCTTCATGAGAAAGGAGATGGTATTCTATTTAGGCTCGGATCACAGTAGCTGACTCCAAAGTAGTGCGATTTTCAGTTCGACTTTGATAAGACCAACACTCTCTGGCATTGAATCTATGTCAAAGTTGGATCAAAGTAGTGCAGGAACCTTTTCTGAAGTCGCACTGACTTCAGTAGTGTCAATTGGAATGGCTCTCATAGAGATACAATACATGGCATTTCACATGTCCTGCGACTTTGGGTCTCACAAGTCAGATCCTAAATCTCAGGAGTGTGAACTGAGCCTAGGGCAAGATTATGATTCAGATAATTAGTCCTCCTAGTTCTTATCCTCTACTAAAAAACAAAAATAGTGTCTTGTTTAGTAAAAATAGTGAATTGTTTAGTATAAGACACTGGACAGGACGGACATCACTAAATCCACAAAAATGGATGTTGTCAGCCCCCAAAAAGACTCAAAAGCAGAGTGCATTTCTGGAAAATAACCATGTATTTTTCTGTACTTACAGGGTCTTTTAAAGCGATAAAACCTGGAGAAATGCACATGTATTGCAGAGATGTACTGCTTTTTTTGTCTAGTCCTGACATACACTTTAAATCATTCAATGCCCTATAGTGGCTCGTCATAGCCGTTGGAGTGAGTTTATTCTCCCAAAGAGAATATTCTCAGTTTTGTAATACCTGCAAGATATGTAGTGGAGCAAAGATATTTAAACTATAGACTACATAGATCCTTACATGTGAATAATAAATGTCTTTTGGCAGGTCAGTAACAGTGTCCTCAGCGTGTACAGTGGAGATTTCGGCAGTGTGGATGCACAGGGATCAGTTCAGTTTTCCCTAGACTATGATGAAAAGAATCGGGAGTTCCATATCTATGTGGCTCAGTGCAAGGACCTGGCAGTTGTGGATGAGAAGAAAGGACGATCAGACCCGTTAGTATTACCCTTATACCTAGCATGCATGTACAGTACATCTTACCATCGCTAGGAATGAATGAGAAATGTGGGTAAGAATCAATCATTCTTTGGCAAAAAGAGAACACTCATGAAGTGGAATTGGCAGAACAGCTGATCACGTAATAAGCAATTAAGTGGGAGCACAGCCTGTGTGCATACAAGTGCAAGGTTGAATGCTTCGTACACTCTTGCCCATGGACACAAGCCTTCTTTTCATATCACTGCAAACTACCTTGTTTAGGACACAAACAGATGTATCAGCAAGAGTGAGGAACAGTAAAAGATCTACCCATTGTTACTAAGATGGTAACCTCCTAGGGATGTCCTTCCTAGGACCTAAACAACATTTTTTCTGCTTTTTGCAACATGTTGTAAGGTAATACACTCTTCCTCATCGTTGTAGCACTGCTTAAATCACCTGCAACCCATTAACATTGCCCTGTGTAATAATGGCCCTAGGATCCATTCACACATTGTGCATAGCCCCTGCACCCCTCCTTGCACTTAATCTTTTCTTTAGAATTTGCAGCACATGTGCCGTAAATGCAGTCTACTCTGCAGTCACATAACAAGCCAGTTCCATCTTCCTCTTCTACATGGTTGATGCTAGTTGGTGCTTCATAGAATGGCACATAAGTTACGACATGTGAGTTGCATTTTGTGCACTGTAAGCGGATGCATCAAGATGGTCAACCCTAGGGATGTGTCGTTCTTGGCTCACAGAACGTACATTAAGTAATACTGGGTTATTCAGAGTGGAGGGCAAAGCTGAAGCATGGAAATGATAAGTAGTGCTTAGCTTGCTTTTTTTTTTTTTCATTTTAAACATTTGGGGTAAAAGGAATTCTAAAAAGCTAGAAGGGGGACTCAAAGTGTGAACGAGCCCTCAGGCTTTAAATCCTTCACAGAGTATTAAAACTAAATGTTTAAATTTTGTGCTTTATATCTTAATAGTAATAGTAACAATGACTTTATTCATTGTTGGATTAATCACAATTTTCAAATTGCTTTGGCAGTCAGATGCAGATCTTGCTGGTTTTAATAAAGATGCTGTATGACGTATATTAGCTGTATGCTGCAAACCCATTGCTTAAAACAATACGTACCTACTGCTAAAACTGATCTGGCATTATCTTAGATGTGACTGAGAGATTATTTGCACATCTGCTATGGCAAGCAAAGAATGTGCCTTTTATGAGACATTTGATATTTCAAGGACAGGAGAAACCTGTTTGATAAATGTGGTGCCGCATTCAAGTGTAATTAATGTCTCCATTTGCAAACAGGTGACTTTAATATGTACTTGGGCATTCCCACAATTATTTATTCAGTGGCAGGTCTGAAATTAGTGCTCAACAGTGCCAACAGACAAAGAAAAAGACTATATAAACAGAACTGTATTCGTGGAGATCAGTGCATACCTGACAGGTTTGCTTACAAGCTTGTTCATATTAATTGCTTTTGCTTCTTTGCATCTCCCTCACTGTTGCTGTTCTAAGGGATTTTTGTGAAAAATAAGAGATCTTCTGCTAGTTTGGGACTCATCTGCCTACAGGTAGTTCCCAGATTTTCTCAAAGTGGAGTAACAAAATTCCAGATTGTCTTTGAAACATTACCTACAGGTGCAGTATGGTGTGGCCCAAAATACACAGTTGTTTATAGCCAAATATCACTTGTCATACTCCTCCATGTCACAAAGGAGGAGGAAAAATAAAACTGGCAGGGGTTATAATCTTTTCTTACACTATACAAAATGAAAAAAAAAAATTTTTGCCTTTAGTTTCACTTTAACTCACCTTACCATATGTGAACTTCTCTACACATATTAAAATACGACTTGTCCATAGGACCAGAGTGTAAGTGCCGATACAGCCAATTGTTAACCACAGGACCAGAATAATTTCTTTCATTTTTTACACACATGTATCAATCTGCATTTTTGGCTAAAAATTACTTACAATCACAAGAACATTATATGTTTTCTGAAAGCAGAGACCGGTAGAAAAAAAAAAGCTGTTGGAATTTTTTTGTTGCACAATATATTTGGAGAGTGATTTACAACCGTGGCCAAACCTTTTGAGATTGACACAAATATTAATTTTCATAAAGTCTGCTGCCTCAGTTTTTATGATGGCAGTGTGCATATCTTCCAGAATGTTATGAAGAGTGATCAGATGAATTGCAATAATTGCAAAGTCCCTCTTTGCCATGATAAGCAACTTCATTCCAAAAAACATTTCCACATCATTTCAGCACTGCCACAAAAGGACCAGCTGACATCATGTCAGTGATTCTCTCGTTAACACAGGTGTCTGTGTTGACAAGGACAAGGCTGGAGACCATACTGTCGTGCTGATTGAGTTAGAATAACAGACTGGAAGCTTTAAAAGGAGGGTGGTGCTTGAAATCATTGTTCTTTCTCTGTTAACCATAGTTACCTGCAAGGGAACATGTGTAGTCATCATTGCTTTGCACAAAAGGGATTCACAGACAAGGATATTGTGGCTACTAATATTGCACCTAAATCAACCATTTATTGAATCATTGAGAACTTCAAGAAGAGAGGTTTAATTGTTGTGAAGAAGGCTTCAGGGTGCCCAATAAAGTCCAGCAAGCGCCAGGACCATCTCCTAAAGTTGATTCAGCTGCAGGATCAGGGCACCACCAGTGCAGAGCTTGCTCAGGAACAGCAGCACAGAGATGTGAGTGCATCTGCATGCATAGTGTGGAGAAGATTTTGGAGGATGGCCTTTTGTTAAGGGCAGCAAAGAAGCCACTTCTCTCCAGGAAAAACATCAGGGACAGACTGATATTCTGCAAAAGGTACAGGGATTGAACTGCTGAGGACTGGGGTAAAGTAATTTTCTCTCATGAATCCCCTTTACGATTATTTAGAGCATCTGGAAAAAAACCTTGTCCAGAGAAGTAAAGGTGAGTGCTACCATCGGTCCTGTGTCATGCCAACAGTAAAGCATCCTGAGACCATTCATGTGTGGGTTACTTCTCAGCCAAGGGAGTGGGCTTATTCACAATTTTGTCTAAGAACACAGTCGTGAATAAAGAAAGGTACAAAAACGTCCTCCGAGAGCAACTTCTTCCAACCATCCAAGAACAATTTAATGACGAACAATACCTTTTCCAGCATGATGGAGCACCTTGCCATAAGGCAAAAGTGATAACTAAGTGGCTTGGGGAACAAACCATCGAAATTTTGTGTCTATGGCCAGGAAATTCCCCAAACTCTAATCTTATTGAGAAATTGTGGTCAATCCTCAAGAGGCGGGGTGAACCAAAAAATACCCACAAATTCTGACAAATTCCAAGCATTGATTATGCAAGTATGGACTGGTATGTCAGGATGTGGCCCAGAAGTTGATTGACAGCACACCAGGGTGAATTGCAGAGGTCTTGAAAAAGGAGGGTCAACACTACAAATATTGACTCTTTGTATAAACTTAATGTAATGGTCAATAAAAGCCTTTTGACACTTATGAAATGCTTGTAATTACAGTATACGTCAGTATACCATAGTAACATCTGGCGAAAAGATCTAAAAAAAACACTGAAGCAGCAGACTTTGTGAAAAATATTTGGGTCATTCTCAAAACTTTTGGCCACGGCTGTAGTATACGCCTATTTTCAGGAAAAAAATATAAAAAAATAAATTTTAGTTCAAACACACAAAATATAATACCTGTTTATTTTGGTAAAATATAAACGATGGTGTTGTGCTGAGTAAATAGATACCAAACATACCAATTCTTAAAATTGCGAGCGCCCGAGATATTGTGAAAAACACTGGTTTCCAAAAACATCCCTAGGCGATGGTGTCAAAGCCTTTGCTGCTCATCCTTTTAGCGTTAACTGTAAGCTCTTGGGATGGAATTATTGCTCTCACTCTGACATTTGCGATGATACCTCACATATGTGGTGTGATCATGGTTACATACCCTGGGCCCATGTTTGCAGTGTGTGCAGGTCTACAGGGTTAGTTATTTTTTTACTTTTTAATTTTTTTTTTTTTTACTTTATTACTATCACAAGAAGTAACCATCCCCCATGTGATAGCATTGACCGGGTGATAGGCACTCTTTATTGACCCCAAAAGCCATCAGCTTGTGTTTACATCCAAAGAGCTAAACTAGTGAATCGGTTTCATTTTCTGACCAGGAAACATTGAAAGTGTATCTGTAAGCAAAACTTTTTTTTTTTTTTTTTTTAGCTTTGGATAGAGTGGTGCGGGGTTAAATTTTCAATCAGGTATTTATTCCTTTGTTTGTCCTCACCATTGAGATTTACTCTCATTACACTGTTCAACAAATTTTTATTTTTTGCCAGTTTTTGAAACAAAAGGATCCATTTCTTAATGAATTTCACATCAGTTCTGATTCAAATATAACAATGAAATTTGTCAATTGGCTCTAGTTTTTCTGTAAACGGAACGTTTTCTACTATAGGCGTAATGACTACATAATGCACAATAATTATATAGATAGATGTCTTTCCACAAATATAAAGCAAGTGATATTGACTACATAACAAAGCCTAAATGGCATAATATATTGCATAGGATTACCAAGAAAAATTATAGCCATAAGCTAAGTTGAATCATTTTAATACTTAGGATTCTCACTAGTTTTGTCTTCAGTTTGTGTCGGTTTTGCTTCTCTTGGCTTTTCTCTTGTATTCGAGGAAAGGGCTATCTCTTACAACTGCACGTGACTACACGCTTCAGGTTCTTCCTCACTTGACTCAACCACGAAGGATTCTGGTGCTTTAGGAATTGGTAGCCCCTCTCCATGAGGAACTGGACATATTGCCGATGGAATATTTGGATAGTGCACAGATAACTTTTTCTTCTTATTTAGCCCTTTTACAATTGGAGGCATCATACAAAAGTAACAATTACTAACATGATCTGTTGGCTCTCTCTCCAAATCATTGGCACAGCGAAAGGCATAGATGCCTTTTTTTTC